TTTTAAAAAAAGAAAACAAAAACAAGAAAAAAAGAGCAAATATCAATAACTGACAGATAAGCCTCAAACTCAGTGTGAAGATTACAGTACTTTCGAATCATCACCTTTTTGCATGATGTTCCTGAAGAAAAACCGGGTAAAACATCGTGCAATAAAGTCAAGAATTTGATTGCTGCAGTTCTTCGAAGGTATAAAGATCAAACGGGTAGAACTATAATCCGATTTGTCAAAAGACTGTAGAGCAGACGATATACGTGCACTTCACGTTTTGGGCATCTTACCAGACTTCTGTCAAAGCGCTATTTTTATTTTTTACTATTAATCCTTAGTTTTCATGAAAATTATTTTAAATGAAGCAGAAGTGTTGGTTAATTTCTCGTTGAAGGCGAGTTCCATTTTCTACGTCTCTGGAATCTCTTCTTTATTTTTGTTTAATCCGACTAACGTTAGAACTTTGTGAGGAAAGTCAAACTAACCCTTCAGTTTTATTGAAATTTTAGCGCTAATTTAATTTCTATAAAGTCCACCCAATTTACAAAACAACGGAAGTTTTCGTTTACATTATTAACTTCAAATTTTTTTTCACAGTTGATTTTTCAAGAGCAAACATTTTATATAAAATGAGAACTTCCGCGACTCTGACTGATTCTTCATAGGCGACTTATAACAGCTTTCGTAAAGCCCAGTTTTTTCAAACAGTTTTTAACTGCAAAGGTTCAGAGCTAACTTTTGTTCTCTTGTGCAGATATTAATTATTCAAAACAGATATTAATTCTTTGCAAAAATGTTTTTGCAAAGAAACAAATAAACCAATCGTAAATCGTAAATTCTGTTATTCTTGACTGCGATACAAAGCGTTTATCTCCATATAGATGTTTCACCAGAACTTTCCAGATTGCACTTAGATTTACCTACAAAGATTTCGATTATATGATGACAGGATTTGTCTACGTATTTAACACACTGAGCCCGACAACTAGCTTCGTAGACGAGACCAGATTTTAAACAGATGAGAACTTTGTCTTTGTTACTGAAACCGAACTAGAATTCTAAACAATTCTAACATTTTTCTTTGGCAATGATTGGCATTTAGCCAAGCCTCCTTTGGAGTTTTTTGGAACATATATTTTCTTGCTGCTGTTGGGGTTATTATACGGTATTTTATTTTGTTATTTAACGCAATTCGAAATAGTTCAAATACAGTTGTAAATTAGTGAAAAACCTCTAAAAAAATGCAACTCCATATCGGAAAATCAACACAATATGGCACTTTCAGCTTCAAAGAGATTAGTGCTGTGTTAATCAAGACGAAATTATCCTTTAAGGTTCACACGTGAGAGACACGTGAGAGATTTAGCTTTACTGGGTTTTTTTTTGACTTGTGACAAGCGTTTTAGGACAGCAAACATTTAAAAGAAATACTTTTCCACACGTGTACTAGATTTCTCACGTTGTGACCCACTTATTCGGTTGTAATGAGTCGAGGTATAGAAAAGGAATGAAAAGCACGCAAGAAGACTGTTCTGTGTCGCATTTCGCCTACACAAAAGTACTGTACTGTATGTACTTTTGTCAAAAACAAAATAAATGAGCAAGAGATAATCGATGTGACGTTTTTGTTTCGTACTGTACATCAAAAGGAACGAAGGAATGATCAAGGGACATTGATTAGACCTTCTTTTACATGCTTGTTATCGTGAATCAGAAGTAGCCCGTGTGCAGTATTCTGAAAATGGCTGACACTATTCTAATTCCCGATGTGATCAGTAAATGTCCATTTCTTTGTGAGTGTAATGTTCACTATCCAGAGGTGGCTGCGGAAACTGAATCATGGCTTGCATCCCATGGCATTCATCATAAGGAAAACCCGTCAAACTATTCTCTTTGGGTTTCTATGACGTATCCTCATTCGAGTCGAGAGCGCCTACGCGAAGCATGTGATCTATACACTCTTCTCTATCTAATCGACGATAAACAAGATTCACTGGAGAAATCGAAGGGCGATGTGCGCAAGAAAGAAAAGATGACCGAGCATTTTATCCAGTGTTTACAAGAAGAGAGGAAATTCAAGCCTCTCCTGCCGCTGGCCTGTGCACTGCACGACTGGTGGCAGCGGATTCTTGTCAGTGCGACGGATGAATTTCGACAACGATTCATCGATGTATTTCGACAATCTTATGCAGTCTGTATGAAACAACCGCCGAGCAAACTGAGAGATTTACAAGAATACATCGAAGATAGACGGCACACGAGTTTCGGCTATCTCGTCTTTAATTATGTTGATCACTGTCACAGCATCAATTTGCCTTCGGAATGCTGGGAGGATGCGACTTTCAAGGATCTTCTCAGCTTTGCTACGGACGCTGCCGCTTGGACAAATGTAGGAATAAAAAATTATAAAAAAAGGGTAAAATAACTTTATTCTTCATTCTAGGACATCTACTCGTTCAATAAAGAACGTTCAGAAGGACACGACGCCAGTCTCATCACCGTGCTTATGAATGTCGATTCAACCCTGACGATTCAAGGTGCAATGAACAGAGCTGGAAAAATGGTCCTGGATCGCTACGATGATTTTAACCGAGCTCGCACTCAACTACCTTCATGGGGCGACGAAGTGGACAAGAAAGTGCAACAGTTCGTCGAAGGCACGGCCTCGGGTGTCATTGCCACGGCGGTTTGGTCGTTTTTCGAAACGACAAGATATTTTAGTAGGGAAAGTCAAGATGGAAAAGGAGCGAAACGAGTGACACTTTCACCCGCCAAACATAATATCGAATAGGCAACCTCGGCGACAAGAAAAAAAATTGATCAATATTCTCTTTTTCCATTCGTCAGAGGTGTTTGTTGAAAATGTTGAAAAATAGTTTTGAATTGTTTTTATAAAGTTTCCAAATATTCTTATCTTTTTTTTTGATTCTTTTACCGAAGTCCTGAATGAAGACAATTTTTTTGTTTCTGAGTTACAATTTGAGAAGTAAAATATTGTAATTATTTTTTGTATCATCTTTTATTCGAGAGTTGACACGCTTTTGAAAAATTGTTTTTGTAATTTTCAGTCCCTTCTAACATTTTTTGTACACCCCAAAAATGTGCTCTTCTGACTTCAAGAAAAAAAAAGAAAGAAGACTCCAGCTGCTTCGAGTACTTTTCAAAAATGTGTGTTTTATTATAAAACATTTTTTTTATGAGAACAAATTATTTTTGGAAAGAGCGCACTCCAGTAAAGAAAGTCTCTTCTCCTTTTCACTGCCTTTTTACTTCTCAGTCAAATGAATAAATTTAATTAATTAATGTCTCTCCTCTCTGTTCTCTTTCCATTTCTTTCTCAATCTTCTCGAGTAAAGTCCCATTTGATACAGCTCTTGAAACTGCATCGAACAGAATTCCGGGCAGACCGTCGAAAAACTTTTTCTCGTGCTGTGATTGATATAGACCTCGTCCTCTCAATATAACATCCTCTCAATATAACTAGACTTTCTTTACTGGAGTGCGCTCTTTCCAAAAATAATTTGTTCTCATAAAAAAAATGTTTTATAATAAAACACACATTTTTGAAAAGTACTCGAAGCAGCTGGAGTCTTCTTTCTTTTTTTTTCTTGAAGTCAGAAGAGCACATTTTTGGGGTGTACAAAAAATGTTAGAAGGGACTGAAAATTACAAAAACAATTTTTCAAAAGCGTGTCAACTCTCGAATAAAAGATGATACAAAAAATAATTACAATATTTTACTTCTCAAATTGTAACTCAGAAACAAAAAAATTGTCTTCATTCAGGACTTCGGTAAAAGAATCAAAAAAAAAGATAAGAATATTTGGAAACTTTATAAAAACAATTCAAAACTATTTTTCAACATTTTCAACAAACACCTCTGACGAATGGAAAAAGAGAATATTGATCAATTTTTTTTCTTGTCGCCGAGGTTGCCTATTCGATATTATGTTTGGCGGGTGAAAGTGTCACTCGTTTCGCTCCTTTTCCATCTTGACTTTCCCTACTAAAATATCTTGTCGTTTCGAAAAACGACCAAACCGCCGTGGCAATGACACCCGAGGCCGTGCCTTCGACGAACTGTTGCACTTTCTTGTCCACTTCGTCGCCCCATGAAGGTAGTTGAGTGCGAGCTCGGTTAAAATCATCGTAGCGATCCAGGACCATTTTTCCAGCTCTGTTCATTGCACCTTGAATCGTCAGGGTTGAATCGACATTCATAAGCACGGTGATGAGACTGGCGTCGTGTCCTTCTGAACGTTCTTTATTGAACGAGTAGATGTCCTAGAATGAAGAATAAAGTTATTTTACCCTTTTTTTATAATTTTTTATTCCTACATTTGTCCAAGCGGCAGCGTCCGTAGCAAAGCTGAGAAGATCCTTGAAAGTCGCATCCTCCCAGCATTCCGAAGGCAAATTGATGCTGTGACAGTGATCAACATAATTAAAGACGAGATAGCCGAAACTCGTGTGCCGTCTATCTTCGATGTATTCTTGTAAATCTCTCAGTTTGCTCGGCGGTTGTTTCATACAGACTGCATAAGATTGTCGAAATACATCGATGAATCGTTGTCGAAATTCATCCGTCGCACTGACAAGAATCCGCTGCCACCAGTCGTGCAGTGCACAGGCCAGCGGCAGGAGAGGCTTGAATTTCCTCTCTTCTTGTAAACACTGGATAAAATGCTCGGTCATCTTTTCTTTCTTGCGCACATCGCCCTTCGATTTCTCCAGTGAATCTTGTTTATCGTCGATTAGATAGAGAAGAGTGTATAGATCACATGCTTCGCGTAGGCGCTCTCGACTCGAATGAGGATACGTCATAGAAACCCAAAGAGAATAGTTTGACGGGTTTTCCTTATGATGAATGCCATGGGATGCAAGCCATGATTCAGTTTCCGCAGCCACCTCTGGATAGTGAACATTACACTCACAAAGAAATGGACATTTACTGATCACATCGGGAATTAGAATAGTGTCAGCCATTTTCAGAATACTGCACACGGGCTACTTCTGATTCACGATAACAAGCATGTAAAAGAAGGTCTAATCAATGTCCCTTGATCATTCCTTCGTTCCTTTTGATGTACAGTACGAAACAAAAACGTCACATCGATTATCTCTTGCTCATTTATTTTGTTTTTGACAAAAGTACATACAGTACAGTACTTTTGTGTAGGCGAAATGCGACACAGAACAGTCTTCTTGCGTGCTTTTCATTCCTTTTCTATACCTCGACTCATTACAACCGAATAAGTGGGTCACAACGTGAGAAATCTAGTACACGTGTGGAAAAGTATTTCTTTTAAATGTTTGCTGTCCTAAAACGCTTGTCACAAGTCAAAAAAAAACCCAGTAAAGCTAAATCTCTCACGTGTCTCTCACGTGTGAACCTTAAAGGATAATTTCGTCTTGATTAACACAGCACTAATCTCTTTGAAGCTGAAAGTGCCATATTGTGTTGATTTTCCGATATGGAGTTGCATTTTTTTAGAGGTTTTTCACTAATTTACAACTGTATTTGAACTATTTCGAATTGCGTTAAATAACAAAATAAAATACCGTATAATAACCCCAACAGCAGCAAGAAAATATATGTTCCAAAAAACTCCAAAGGAGGCTTGGCTAAATGCCAATCATTGCCAAAGAAAAATGTTAGAATTGTTTAGAATTCTAGTTCGGTTTCAGTAACAAAGACAAAGTTCTCATCTGTTTAAAATCTGGTCTCGTCTACGAAGCTAGTTGTCGGGCTCAGTGTGTTAAATACGTAGACAAATCCTGTCATCATATAATCGAAATCTTTGTAGGTAAATCTAAGTGCAATCTGGAAAGTTCTGGTGAAACATCTATATGGAGATAAACGCTTTGTATCGCAGTCAAGAATAACAGAATTTACGATTTACGATTGGTTTATTTGTTTCTTTGCAAAAACATTTTTGCAAAGAATTAATATCTGTTTTGAATAATTAATATCTGCACAAGAGAACAAAAGTTAGCTCTGAACCTTTGCAGTTAAAAACTGTTTGAAAAAACTGGGCTTTACGAAAGCTGTTATAAGTCGCCTATGAAGAATCAGTCAGAGTCGCGGAAGTTCTCATTTTATATAAAATGTTTGCTCTTGAAAAATCAACTGTGAAAAAAAATTTGAAGTTAATAATGTAAACGAAAACTTCCGTTGTTTTGTAAATTGGGTGGACTTTATAGAAATTAAATTAGCGCTAAAATTTCAATAAAACTGAAGGGTTAGTTTGACTTTCCTCACAAAGTTCTAACGTTAGTCGGATTAAACAAAAATAAAGAAGAGATTCCAGAGACGTAGAAAATGGAACTCGCCTTCAACGAGAAATTAACCAACACTTCTGCTTCATTTAAAATAATTTTCATGAAAACTAAGGATTAATAGTAAAAAATAAAAATAGCGCTTTGACAGAAGTCTGGTAAGATGCCCAAAACGTGAAGTGCACGTATATCGTCTGCTCTACAGTCTTTTGACAAATCGGATTATAGTTCTACCCGTTTGATCTTTATACCTTCGAAGAACTGCAGCAATCAAATTCTTGACTTTATTGCACGATGTTTTACCCGGTTTTTCTTCAGGAACATCATGCAAAAAGGTGATGATTCGAAAGTACTGTAATCTTCACACTGAGTTTGAGGCTTATCTGTCAGTTATTGATATTTGCTCTTTTTTTCTTGTTTTTGTTTTCTTTTTTTAAAA